ATTTACCATGTATCTATCTGTGTATATACATACATATCTATATATATATATATATATGTATGTGTGTGTGTATGTGAGTGTACGTATGTATGCACGTAAGTACATATACGTCGGTGAGTCCGACTTTAAAGGGAAATAAATGACCTTCCGATAAAATAAAGCTTTCGCGAGATGAAATAGATGTAGAGAACGATTTGGTCCAGCACCGATAGCACAGTGACGTAAGCCGATTTGTCATCGCCTGTGACAAAGCCGCACGTTCCGGATAAATCCAATACGTCCTACTAGCGAGGCGTATTAAGGAAACAGCAAATTGCAGTGTCGAGTTTATCCGAATGGTTCGAGTATATCGATTGACGTTTGTCGTATCGCGATAACTTTTTTTCAAAAGATTGACTTGTCCTTTTTCTTTCTTATGCATCTTTATACATATATATATATATATTTTTTTTTTCTTTTTTTTTTTCTTATATTTATTTCTTTCTTTCTTTTTTTCTTGTTCACGTTAATGTTCTTGTTCGTGTTATTTTTATCTTTATTTCTTTTATTTTTGTTCTCTTTTGATAGCACAGTTTAATGTCATATATGAACGATTCGTCTTCAAGTCGAGCCAAAATTATGATTTACGATGTTACAGGGAAATTGCCTAGCGAAAGAACGAAATATTTCGAAAGACGATAAATCATTCTCAAAACGATCCGCGGATGCGTACCGTAAGTACGTCCGATAGTGATATTGTGCACGGGATAAAGCGATTTGTCAATGATTTTGACAAAGTTGCATGAATGTAGAGAACCGATATGACTCGGTATCTATGTTACATTTCAAGGAGGTCACACTTCATTATCGGCTTATATAATTGTTCATTCTAAATATATCAAGATTTTAAAGTATCTATGATTTTACAAATTTCGTTAGAGATTATAGATTCGTTTGCGTGTACTTTAATTAATAAATCGTAATGAAGATATTTGTTATACGTTTAACTGAAAAACAAAAAAGTAAGAAGAGAGAGAGAGAGAGAGAGAGAGAGAGAGAGAGAGAGAGAGAAAGAGAGAGAAAGATAGTCAGAGGACATGTTGGTACATAGTTTTGACGAAGACATATTATTTTATCATTTTATTAAGAATAGAAATAAAATGAATATATATATATATATATTTTTTTTTGTATTCTTTTAAAATTACAATACTCTGATATTCTCATATGCAATACCTTATATGTTAATTTTGCATTATATGTTCATTATAAGTAGAAGATATACATATATCATATCTATTTTATATGATAATTAATATTAATTAACTTAGGAAAAATATATAACATATTTTTTATTCCTCATAAAAGTATGCGTTATCCTATAAGACATTAAATCAACGAAAATTTCCATATCAGCTATACATTGATTCTATTCATACGAAAAATACTACTACTATTACTACTAGTAATAATAATAATAATAATAATAATAATAATAATAATAATAATAATAATAATAATAATAATAATAATAATAATAATAATAATAATAATAATAATAATAATAATAATAATAATAATAATAACAATAATATTAACAACAACAACAACACCAATAATAATAATGATTTATTTAAATCTATTTTGCGTCATTCTAATATAAACAATATTTATTATACTTTTAGCGAAAGAAATGGGAACATAAGATAAGATTTCGCATAATCGAGTTACTTCGATAGGAATGGTTAAAGATACAAATCGATGTTGAGAATGGAGGAAACAAGATGGCTTTAAGAAATTTCCATTGGTATCCTCGCGAGATACTTGAGTAAAGTCCCCGGAGGGAATGAAATTAAAGCTCAAAGCGGGCCACTTCGTATTGTGGAGAATTGTGTTTGATGGGCCAGCAAGAAAGCAGGAGGATGAAAGAGAGGAATACTTGGTAGTGTACATTTATATATATACATATATATATATATGTAAGTGTGTATATATATATACATAGCCGTAGTATTATATTGGCCTTAAACGGTCTCAAGGAAAAGCTCCCGCCAGTTGCAAGCTCGATTGAAATCCCTGGCAGTGGTTCAAAGCCCGGCTTTAAATGCCGTGCGACGTTAATGCAAACTGCTTTTATATTAGGCGCGAAATACCGTCGCGATGAGGGCCAAACAGTTTTTATACTTTTCGAGGATAAGTCACAATTAAAAAGCATTATTATTCTAATGTGTCTATCTATATGTATAAATGTGTTTTATATACATTTGTGTTTGGGTTGTATATGTGTGTATATGTATATATATATATGTGTGTGTGTGTGTGTGTATGTGTGTGCGTGCACGTGCGTGTGTATGTATACAGGATGTTCAAAATGTATGAGATTAAACTTATACTATGTATTGTGCTGAGATCAGATAGAAAAAAAAAAATTCATATAAATTTATGTTCAAAAATGATTTATTGAAAAGATATATATATATATAATAACAATAATAATAATAACAATAATAATAACGTTATTAATGATTATAATAATAATAATAATAATAATAATAATAATAATAATAATAATAATAATAATAATAATAATAATAATAATAATAATAATAATGATAATCATAATAACGATAATAATAATAATAATAATAATAATAATAATAATAATAATAATAATAATAATAATAATAATAACAATAATAATAACGTTATTAATGATTATAATTATAATAATAATAATAATAATAATAATAATAATAATAATAATAATAATAATAATAATAATAATAATAACAATAATAATAATAATAATAATAATAATAATAATAATAATAATAATAATAATAATAATAATAATAATAATAATAATAATAACAATAATAATAATAATAATAATAATAATAATAATAATAATAATAATAATAATAATAATAATAATAATAATAATAATAACGATAATAATATATATACATATATATATCTCCTATGTTTACATGTTTATACGTAATATTTAAAAATTTTCAAAGAAATCGATAATATTTTTTCTTGTGTATAATAGCATATAGATGTGTTCTGTTATGTAAATAAGTAGTATATACAAAAATAAAGTGGTCACGTTGCATTGATAACAGGAAAAAAATAAAGGAGAACATATGTTTACTTTGAATTGTTTCTATGTATTGTACTATGTATCGATACGTTATGACGTGGAGTAGTATAACTTAGATTGGTAGTAATTGTTCGAATAAAATTGTCGTCTCGAATCAAGAACATTATCCTGCTATTAATTTGTGTTTTTTCTTCTTTTTTATTACCTTTTTTTTTTTTTTTTTTTTTTTTTTTTATATAAACCTGCGTTCACATGTGTCGTCTCAATGTACAAATGTGTTGTAGGAAAACAGGTGGGTTTGAAATTGATAAGAGGAAAACAGTCGGTTGCAGATAAAGTTTCCGCTTTATTAATTCTCAATGTATGTATTCTTCTCTCTTTCTCTCTCTGTCTCTCTTTCTTTCTCTTTATTATTACTATTATTATTATTATTATTATTTTTTTTTTTTTTTTTTTTTTTTGAATTGTTTCTTTTTTCATAAAATTGTCAAACCGACACATTTGACTTCTACTTTTACTTTGTATCAATCTTTTATGTTCATGAAATGATTAGATAGCCGATGAGACATCGATTTTGAGATTGGGTTGTTACTAGTAATATCGAAGTCCTGTTAGGGTTAGAGAATACTGAAGGTAATAGGAAAAGCTAGAGCATAGTTGCCAACTCCGAAGGATATCCTGCGTGTACAGCACTTTCGAAGTACCACGTAGGAAACGCCATTACAGCAAGATGTCGGACTTTGGCACAAGCTGCAACCGTTTGTTCGTTGGTCATTCTCAATGGCTTTAACTTGTTTCACATCCTTCTACGAAATTAGCATGATATATATATATATATATATATATATATATAAAGTTAAGAAGAATTAGCATGGTATATATATATATATTAAGAAGAATTTTGATTTCTTTTTTAAAAGGATTTCGATCATTTTTTTTTCTCTTTTTTTTTCTCTTATATTTCGATCGTTTCTTATATTACATTAGACAATATAAATATCACATAAGACAATGTACATTTTTTCGAATGCATATTTATTTATTTATTTATTTTTTTTTTTTTCTTTTTTTTTTTTTAGAGAGGGAACAAGTGAAACGATGAAGTCTGAACAGAAAATATGATTTTTTCGATTAGAGTATTTAAAAAATATATATTTATCTTTTGAATAATTCATAAATATGCTTTCCATATTTATGTTTAACTACATATGCGGAAATACATTTGATATGTTATTTGTCCTGAATATGTATAATAATGTATATTAGGGCTCATTTAAACACCTTATCATCCGCAATACAGAAATTGGAAACCGTAGGTCTAACGTTAAATGATTCAATTATATCATGAATTCCATAACTCATTTAACAAATAATATTCCTGGTGATTGTGGGGAAAATCGATCGTTTATTATTAACGATATTTATAATAATAAATATAATAAATAAATTGTTACCAATAATATTATCGGTTACAATGAATAATATTAAATTATTTATGAATAATGTAAATCAAAATAAATTTCGAATGAAGAAAAGTTTCGTATGGGAGTTTTTTTTTTCTTTTCTTTTCTTTTTATTTCTTTCTTTCTTTCAGAAAGTAAGTAAAAAATAAAAAGGAATAACAAATTAGCATACCGTTCATTAATATTTATTTACTTAACAATGTAATTTTCCATTAATATTTCCATTAATATTAACAACTTTCTATCTTAATTCATGCTTTTTTTTTTCGATAAAATGATTCGTCCTTGTAAAAAATAATTGCATACTAATTGAACAAAATACATATAATGCATATAATACATATAATACATTACAACGAGTGATATCATTTTATTTATGAATAATGTAAATAAGACAAATATATATATATATATATATATATATATATATATATTTGAATAAGGAACGAGAAGTTCTCGTAAAAGATATTTTTATTAAGCAAAAGGGAACAATGCAATGAATTTGTACATAAAATGCATGCGATTTGTATGAAATGTAGAAAAAAAGGAAAAAAAATTCCATCAGCTTTTTTTTCTTATTTTTTTTCTTTTCTTTTTTTTTTTTTGAGTAAAAAAACACAATAAATTTGTATATCGTTCATTAATATTTAACAAAGTAATTTCCATTAATATTAATAATATATAAAAGTGAAAATAAGACTTCGATAAAAATCGGTAATAACCGATCGATAAACATAATTTAGATACAATACGTCACATTTTTATCTAAAAATAAGATAAAATCTATAAAAATAAATGTGTTTTTATAAGTATCTACGAAGAAAAAAAGTGACAGAAAGTCATGTCAACTGGGAAAAAAGAAAAAAAGAAAGAAAAAAAAAGGAAAAAAGAAAAAAGATCTCATCATAGTACATTAATTGATAATGGATCGATCGATGATAATGTATAAAAATAAAAACAGAAAGAAGGAAGAGAAAAAAAGAAAAAAAGAAAAGAAAAAAAAAAAATCTAATAATTCGCTAAACGCGAATAAATTGGTTCGATCTTGTGAGCTATGTCGAAACGTTTAACAATTAATATTTTTAACTTTTAACATGCGACGTTTTATCGGGACGCCATTAAAGTTATTTTTTTAATCGTTGAACGAATGAATGAAACGGAACGAAACGAAACGAAACGAATCGAAACGAATCGAATCGAAATGAAACGAAACGAAACGAAACGAAAGGAAAATACTCAAACGTTTCGCGTTAATTGAAATTCAATTTCTCTCTTTTTTTTTTTCTCCTTTTTTTCCTTTCTTCTCTTTTCTCCTCATTTTTTCTTATTACCGTTTATTGTACTTTACTTTTGTTTTATTTTCTTTTTTTTTTCCCCCTTTTTTTTTCATTTTATTTCTTTTTCTTTCTTTCTTTCTTTCTTTGTTTTTCGTTTTGTTTTTTCTCTATTTTTTTTTTTTTGTATTTTTCTTTTGTATTTCTTTTTTTTTTTTTTTTTTTTTTTTTTTTTACAACGACAACGCGATAAGTCGTTCGTTTATTCGTTCGGTTCGTTGCAGCAACCGAGCTTGGGTCACCCACTCGAGGTAAACGCTACTCGACGAATTCGCGAAACTCTGCGGTTAGGCAATTAATTATTAAATTTATTTGCTAATTAGGTAATTACCAAGCGCATTCGAGTGTACAGCACGAAGTTCGAGAACACCTTCCCTATTCCTTCCACCCCCAAATCCCTCCCCCTCCTTGTCCCTCCGCCATCTTACACATTCTCTTTTACATACACGAGAAGAGCCAATGGTCTTTGGTTTAAACTATGCGACCAAAATATTTTCATTCGACTTGAATCATTTAATAATAAATAGGACACCATTCAACACGGTGTTCCATATGTAAACGTTAATTTGTTTTCTTATTTTTCAAATTTCTTTTTTTAATTTTTAATCCTTTTTTGTCTTTTTTTTTTTCTTTGCCAGCGTAACAACAATTAAGCATTGTCATAGATGCAATGAAGGAATATCTTCATCCAAGCACGATGTACTTATGGCTCGTTCTACTTGATTTCCCAAAATGTAAGTAATTAATTTCTCGTTAGAATTTTTCTTTTTTCTTTTTGAAAGGAACGCTTTGTTATGTGCTACGCACATAAGCTCTTTGACTTGTTCGTTTTGATATTATTTTTATTATTATTTGATAGGATTGGTTTTTTTTTTCCTTTTTTCTTTCTTTCTTTTTTTTTCTTTTTTTTTTTTCTTTTTTCTTTCCTTTCGTAATTCTTTGTTACAATTGTATCCGATCATTGATCAGTTTTAAAAACAGTATTTATGATGAAAGAACGAATGAAATAGCACGAAGTTCCAACGCGATTATATTTCAATCGTTTCGATAAGTAAATGCGATTAGAACGAGAGAATGAATTCATTGAAGTTCTTATTTCCTTTGTCTCGTTCCTTGATTTCTGATTTGATTAATGCCCTACGAAAAAAAAAAAATTATTGGAAATGAAAGGAACATTTCTTTTCCATAGTCTTTATGTTTCCCGTTTAAGTAATTAATATTATAATGATAGATAATTCTAATCAATATTCAGACGAATGTTTATAATCGTTATAATCGATGTATATGATTAGAATGTATTAATGAATTTACGAATTAATGAAATTCTTTGTTATCACATACTCGTCGTTGTTTTTATTCATTTATTTATTTATTTATTTATTTATTTTTTTTTTTTTTTTTTATATTTTCAATGTCCATTGCATAAGTTTTACGATTGAATACTAATATTTAAAGATATAATAGGATTAATTATTTTGAATCGTTTCAATTAATAAACCTGATTACTGTTACGATAGATAATGATTTTAGTTAATTAGAATTAGTAAACATGATTAAAACAATCGATATTAATTCATTGAAACTTTTTGTTATATCATTCGTGCCTTTTCCCTTCTTT